CCCCCCCGAGCCACTGCGGGCAGGGGCAGCAGCAGCCAGCAGGGGTTGTGGACTGCCTGCAGATGTTGCTGGCAATGGCAGTGATGGGGTGGTGAACAGGGACCACCCACAGGTGCCCCCGACAATGTCAGCAGCACCTTTTTGTAGGGGGTGTACTGCCACCCTCAGGGGGTGCACGCACACCCACGTGCACCCCCTATGCGTTGCCTGATACTGGATGCTGACTACAGATGGAACTCTATTAACAATGATAGCTTGAACAGCTGTAATATAGATGGTAGAGTATTGGTGGAATCACACATCCTTGCTGGACTCTAGAACTAATAGTGAGGGGGTCCTTTTCCAACCCATTGTTTAGGATGGCTCCTGTCATGTCATCATGAAGAAGTCTGATGATGATAACAAATTTTGGCAGACCAAATCTCCTCAGGATCATCCATTTGACTTCCCTGTTGATTGACTCAAAGGCCTTAGTCAGGTCAATAAAGGCCATGTTGTTCATCTTGACCTGTATTGTTCGTGGCACTTCTGCAGGTGTCTAACAACAGCGACCAGATCTACCGTACCTCTGTGTGAACTGAAACCATATCGGGACTTAGGTAGAATCTCCTCAACAAGGAAAATGAATATATTGAGAAGAATGCAGGCCAGGATCTTCCCAGCTATACAAAGGAGTACAATACCACAATAAGTGCTGCAATCTGATCTATCTCCTTTTTTGATTATAGTAATGAACCTGGCATTTCTAAAAATCATTGGGAATCTGTTCACGATGTGTAGTAAGTGAGAGAGCTTTTTTCAAGCTTGCTTATAAACTTTGACTGGTATTCCATTAGGACCACATGCTTGGGATCTCATCATCTGCTTAATTAATTTCAAGGCCTCTTGATAAGTTGCTGGATCTGAAAGCAATGGTGTTGTGAAATGGTTTCAATGGTATTGTCTTTGATGTTAGAATCTTGGTTCTAGAGCTATTGAAAGTGATTCTTCCACCACGTGTTGATGGCGGAGCTGTATTTAAAAGGTGTTGTTCCATTCTTCAAACTCAAAGGGGTGGCTTCTTGTGGATTTGGCCCATAGATAGCTTTGATTGTGCTGAAGGAACTATGCATTTCATGGCTGTTGACAAACTTTTGAATGTCTTTTCTTATGCTCTCCCACCACTTGTTCTTTTTCTCTCAATTTTTTCTTTGCGTCTCAGTTTAGTGTTATGTCATTCTTCCGACAGCATTCTTTGATGGCTCTCTTTTTTGGCCAGTGCAAACTTTATTTTTTTTATCATTCTCACTGAACCACTCCTAATGTTTCTTTGTGGAGAAATGTAGAGATTCTTTGCACACCTCATGGATGCATTTCTTGATGCTTTCCCAGTGATCAATATTGTCAAGAGTTTCTCACTGAAACACTGTTGGCAATGATCATTTCTAGTAGGGGCTTTCAAGTACTCACTATTAAATCTCTTCCTTGGTGGCTTATTTTGTTTAGGTCATTTTGGGCGATACAAATGGACATTTGTATCCAATGATCTATTCAGCAGTCATCTGTGCTGGTCATCGGTCTGGTGAAATGGACATGACACTTCTGGGAATGCACTACAATGTTGTTAATCAGGTGCCAGTGTTTTGAGCAGGGGTGCATTCATGGTATCATCCATTTGTTGCTTTGGCAGAATAAGAAGTTTGTGATGATGAGATCATGTCCCTACCCCATGCTTTCCAAGTGTTCCTTTCCATAGCTCAGACTCCCTGCCCACTCTAATATTGAAATAGCAAAGAAGAATTATCTTCTTTAGGGACAGATGACAGGACTTAGTCAAGTTTAGAAAAGAAGTCTTGTTTAATCAACTGCATCAAGGGTTAGGGCTGAAAACTGTTGCACATTGTCTGTTGGTTAGCTGATGATGAAGGGTCATGAGATGCTCGTTGGTGCTAACTAAACATTCCAGCATCTGAATAACAAACTTGGCCTTGAAAACAAAACTAGTGCTGTGGATGTGTGTCTTTTTTTGCTGTTCCTTTCCAAGGTGCAGCCACCACTATTTTCTGAGCTGCCACCTTCCTATGTGTATGGTCTCACTAAGTGCAGCAACATAAATATTAAATCATATAAGTTCTCTGTGCACAAATGCTATCCTTCACTCCAATCAGTCACTGTCAGGGTTGTCCATCAGGGTGTAGGCATTCCAGGCTGCAAGCTTCATTACTGAAGAAAGATGCTTGCTATTGAAGAAAGATGCTTCTGTATGTCTTCTTTTAATGAGGGACTGCCAACGCATATCAGCAATCACACAATACTTTGCAGGAAGTAAACTTTAATCTCATGGCAAGGAAAACCTAGACAACGGGAAGTTTCTATTCTGTGGTAGCCTTCATCCACCTTTGCAGCCATTGTGAAGAATTTTTTCTTCATCTGCCCACACTGTTGTTGAGCACATTTTTTATTTTTAGATTGTTATTACTCTTTGAAATCTTGCTCTCAACCTTACCACCATGGGTGACCCTACCAGGAGTACAAACTCCAGACAGCATCATTCTTAAGGTCATTGGTAGCTTACAAACCTCTCTACTATATCAAGGTTGCAATCCCTGGGAGAACATTATTAGCAACAATCAAACTAAAATCCCTTTATACCATCAACTGTTTTTGAACTTTCCTCTTCAGAGGGAGCTGAAGGTGTCCGTTTCCTTGCTAAAATTATTTTTGTAGTTTTGTGAAACTACCATAGGCAATGTACAGCATTTTCTTTAGGAACAAAAATTGCAACCAACAAATTATGTCTATTTCACTGCAGCTGCAAAATTGTTCACTGAGATTGGGGAGAGCTTTTATTAGAAATAAAATTAAATAAAATAAATTGCCAGGTTCATTTGTTCATTTTGTGATATTTTCTTTGGCAGCACACAGCTGGAGAAAGCTGCATGCAAGCAAAGCAAATAGCAGATTCATTTGCAGAACTCAACAAAGCCTAGAATCAGAAACCAACCTTTGCTCACAGTTACTTTTATGGAAATTCAGAGTGATACAATTCAAGAGTGATACAACCACCTTGACACCAATAGAACACATTTCAGTTTGTCCGTGGCAGGAATACTTATGTATCCCAAATAGATATCTGGCCCTTGAAGGATTTTCACATATCTACATGGGGGTATATACACTTTCAACTATTTTCAGGGATATGAACTGACTTTGCCTAACAACATGTTATCCACAATTCCTAAACTATTTAAATCTTCTCTATTACCTGTTTAATAAATGGAAATAGAGCAGCATATTTTTGACAAACCACACAGATTACAGACTATGGAGCACAAGTATAAAAGCACTCAACTAATTTTAGTTCGGAGTGTTTTTTTCTTTCCAGTGTTACCTACGCTTCTGTAAATAAGAATCTGTTCTCCACATAGAAATCTAGGGCCATAAAAATCTCACTTCTCCTGTATGAGGATTTCCAGCTCTGCTGAGGAAGTCCCACTGAATAACACCAGGTTCTTGAAACAGAAACATGTGTTTCCAGCAAAGCTGGTGGAATTTTCCTTCTCTTAGATACTACATTAACACTTACCTCTAACTTAGCTAAAAAGTATATTAATCAGTGAGATATACATACGATTTTAAAGCTTCACCGCTAGCATTCCTGTACTTACCAGTGTCAAGGAGTCCTGGATGGTGATCGAGGAACAGATGGAAAGCAGCAGAGCAAGAAATTCATTTATGAATAAACTAAAGACAATGAGTCTAGTCTTCTGGATGAAGATGCAATTTTGTACAAAGAAGGGTGGCTAAATTTAGGACTTAACTAAAGCTCCTAGTTCAGACTAAGACCTGGATATTTTTACATACTATTGTAAAAATGATCTTTGCAACCCACCTCTTGGGGGATATTCCATGCCATGTAAACATGGCTTTTAAATTCATCCATCCAGACTTCAGCTACTCTCAGTGCATTTCTTCGGACATGGGCAGTGAGGTCTTCAGTGTACGGCTTATGGGCTCTTTCGATATGGGCAATCCTAGAGCAAGGGAGAACTTCAACGCTGCCTCCACATTGCCAGACCTAGAAAAACGATCAACATATCATTTAAAGTCAGCTGGCTGGACCCAGTACACAGTATCACTGCATGTTATTTCTTCCAACAATACCTGGGAATTCTTTTGCTTTTAAACAAAATACTGATATTAAGGATAATAATAACCTAGGAGATATTGGACAATCCAAATTATATTTCAAGACTAAGCCAATATCCCTCTGAAAATTACCAGTACTACATTATCAAATACATATTTTTCCTACAGATAACTTTTCTTAACTATGATGTTATTAATAAAATAATTTAAGAGGCATCAATGACAACAGTATCCCAATTCTTTGTACATAGCATACATTTAATTCCAAACTTTCTGTGAAGAGGTAACATTCAGTCCATCTTTCTCTTGCTCTTTCTTAGACACCAGAACTAGATAACTTTAGGGGTGACAAACACAAGCCACTGAATATGTCCAAAAATTCCAGAATATTCAGATTTCAGGAGGCCTGGATAAATTAACCTAACATTTTGCTAACCCAAAAGGGGATCAAGTGTATTTATTTTGTGAATAAATGCCAAAGACAAAGATTTCCCATTGAGAGTACCATACTCACAAGCTCCATAACAGCTTGATGGAGCTCCATCACCTCGCCAAATAAAGGCCAATGTGTTTATCACATGTCTCTGTTCAACAGTGTTCTGCTATTGCTGAGTATCACAATAGCGATGGGGTAATGTTTACAGATTAGTATTGCTATTTGAGAATGCCTTGGCTTCGGAATCCCTTGCTTTTCAGTCTTTAGAATGTGCATATATTGGAAGCACAGAGCTGGAAGGGATATCAAGGATCACCTGGTTCTCTCAACTTTTCTTCACAGTTTCTATTCCAGCCCTTTTATTATCTTTGTCACCTGCCTCCTGAAACCCCCCTTGGATTATCTCAATTGTCAATCTCTACATCCTTCTCAAACTACAGGACTCAAAACTGTACACAATATTCCAGCTAAGGTGTAACCAGTGTTACTACCACCTCTTGTTTCTTGCATAGAATAATTTTGTCAATGCACCAAAAGTACATTTTGTATTTTAACAGCAGCACTGCACTGCTAAGTTGTTGTGAGTTCATGACACCAAAACTCCCAGATCCTTCTAAGCAGTGCTAGTTAACACCTATTCTGTATGTGTCCATTGAGTGTTTCTTCCCTACAAAGAGCACCTCACATTTATTTTATTGAATTTTATTTTGTCATCTCTAGCACATTTTTCAACACATCAAGATCCTTTCTAATTCCAGCCTTCTGAAGTATTTGCAACTCTTCTCAGTTTTTTGTCATCTGCCCACTTGATCAAAAAGCTCTCTATTCCTGGCCACCAGCCATTAATACAAATGTTAAACAGCCCCAAACCCAGTACAGACTCCTGTGGAATCATACCTGAAACTTCCTGCCATTCTGACATCAGTCCATTTATAGTTACTCTTTCCACAGAATGATAATTCTATCTAGGCCACATGTCTTCAGCTTACTAATGTAAAGGTCATGTGGGGCGGTGTCAGAGCATGCCTATGTCTAAAATTGAAGTATACTTAATAGCAGCCTTCAGCTACCTGAAGAGTGGTTTCAAAGAGGATGGAAATAGACTGTTTTCAGTGGTGGCAGATGATGAACAAGGAGAAATAGTTTCAAGTTGCAGCAAAGGAAGTTTAGGTTAGATATTAGAAAAAAACTTGCCCACCAGGAAGGTAGTAAAACACTGGAACAGGTTACCCAGATAGGTTGTGGAAAATCCATCGTTGGAAGTTTAAGACCCAGGTAGGCAAAGCCTTGCTGGGGATGATCTAGTTGGAGATGGTCTTGCTAAGCAGGGGGCTGGCCTAGATGGCCTCCTGAGACCCTTTCCAACCCTAATTTTCTATGATTCTATCAAAATGAGAAGCAGGATATAATAGCCGCACCAGACTACTGTAGTAATGATGCTATATTGCTTGTACTACCTGAACTAGCTTATTCAACTCCAGCTTAGGTATCTCTTCAGGGAACCACACTGTGTTTGCAAACATACCTATAATTGCAACTTCCTTTGGGATGCGGTGATGGAACAAAAGTCATCAGGCTATAATACTGTTATGGGAGATCTCAGCTTTTTGGTGCCCAATCCCTATATGGCAGGAGGTGGGCAAGAACAGTTTTATCCCCAGGCAGCTCACCAAGAAGAGCTTGTACTCTGGTCTCTCTTCTTGTGAGCAGGGAATACAGGTTGGCAGAACATCATGTTCTGGAACTGTGTGAGAGCCCCTCCAGGTCTGTCCATCCTACATGCATATGCTCTACCAGGGAGGCATTTTGTTCAACCATTCATTTGATATATTTAGACATCTGGCTTGAATACAGCATTTAGGCATTTGGCAGATTCTGAGACTGGAAGAATGTGGCATGGATTCAGAATGTTTACAAAGCCTTTTCTGGGATGGTGCCTAATTACGTTCAGCATATGCTGAAAGAAGAGCTAGAACCTTGTCTTTGCTCACTGGTTGATGAGCCCCCCATGAACATATTGTACAGTCAAGCAAGAAAGCAACAGGAAAGACTTTTGCACATCTTTGTCTCAAGCACTTGGAATCCTGCAAGAGTGAATAAATATAACCAACGTCAGTGCAAAACTATGAAGATCTACATGAATATTTAATAGGAACTGGGTGATTGTTCTGTCATAAGAATATAGAATAAATTTGAAATAACATCTGTGTCCTGTTGCACTTTTCTAAACATAATATAAAGCAGGCAATCCAGTTTAAAGAGCTACCAAGAAATATTAGTTTCTGAAAAATACAGTTCTATATAGCTCAAATACATTTTTTAGTAGAGATCAAATATGAAGTAACATCAGGTTTGCCTCCAATCTGAGCCATTTCTCAGCACCACACTGACATCCAATTAAAAATTGCCTGAGCCAAACTGAATCTGGCTCAGCAGTACACATACAATAGTATGCGTACTACTTAAAATTAATATCATAAAAGAAACAAGGAAGATACTGGATGGACATTGCTGCAGTAAGACAAAAACATATGAAATATCACCTACTGTGTTCCAATGCCCACTTTTGGTTCATTTTAATTAGGTTTATTTTGGTTCAATCTTAATTTAAAAACCTGATGCAAATTCTACATCCAAACACCCTACAATACAGGAGAATTTAGATCTGAACTGCATCTTCATAACAGGTGGAAGCAAAACTACATTTCAATAGCAGAGTGAATTTCTAAGGCAGCTGAACTCGAGCTGAAATTTGAAGCTTGGGTTCATCTGTAATTTTAGTACAGATACAGTAATGGGGAAAAAAATCTCCTGACTTTATAATGAAGCTGTGTCTGTTTTCCAAACATACCTTGATGTAACAAATACTTTAATATGGTTTGTAAACAACAATTACCCAGTATTTGAGCAAACTCCAATTAATCAAACCTGTTGGCCATCCCTTCCTCTCAGAGACGCTGTCAGTCTTTGTTCTATTTCTGAAGACTAATGAATTATAGTGACACAAGAAACATGAATTCTTTTAAAATCTTAATGCCAAGTAGGAGCTGTCAATACAGAAACTGACAGACTGGGGTGGTTCTACAGAATAGATTCTAAAACAAATCTAATTATTTATAAGGAAACATCTTCACTAATCTGTGGAAATGTGATTAGCAGGTAACAAATATCAGTCCAGATGTCATTGGCACATAGAGGTATGTATTTATAATTCCCACATATCAAGATTATAGAACTGGAAGGGACCTCATGGATATCCAGTCTAGCACCCTGTTCAAGGATCATCCCCGACTAAACCATTCCAGTCAAGTCTGTTAACCTGTTCTTGAAACTTTCCAGGGTTGGAGATACTATAAACTTTCTACATAGCCTGTTCCAATGCTTAATCCTCTAGGGGCAAATCCAGTGGCACAATCAGACTAGCTGTGCCGCACAAAAGCTCTCAGCAGGGGATCTTGCTGAACTCCCTACTTTTGTGCGACTAAAGCCCAGAGGGTGAATGCTGCTGCTGCCACTTATCCCTTCTTTTGCCTGTGCTGCTGAATTCAGCAAGATGGGGAGGGATGGGAAGAGTGTTCCCAGCAGCAGTGTTCAGTGTTCACCCCCGAGGTCTGGAACTACACAAAAGTAGGGGCTATATTCAGACCCCACCCCAATCAGCTGGTAAGCTCAGAGCTCACTACTTGTACACAGCTCTGGCAGGAGCCCACACTCCTTTCAGAGCTCACTGTACCTGCGCAGTACAACTTGCATGTATGTGTGGTGGTGGTGGGAGGGTTCACCTCCCTTCCCATGTTCCTGGTTCTGCTACTGTTATCCATCCTCATAGTAAGAAAGTTCTTAAATTTCTCTGCTGCAGTTTGAGGCCTGCCCCCTGCAAGATGAAACTAAGCCATTCAGTAAATAAATCTTCAATAAGGAAGAAGAAAAATAGATTATTTTGAAAACAGGGGATTCAGATGCTCAGTGGACATGTTTACATGTACATTCATGTGCCATAGTTACTGCGCATTAAGTTTAGTACATGTAATAATAGGTACTAACTCAATGTGCAGTAACCAGCAGTACTGCGCAGTAGCGCTGGCACATGCCTTTTCAGTGACTCTAATGTTCAACAGACTAATTGTACTGTGTGTTAGTGCATTAGCACGGCTTTTACCGTGACACGCTAATGTGCAGTAGAATTAGTCTACTGAACATTTAGCATCTCATGTAGACACATTCAGTTATGGTCTCCTCAGGATTTTTACAGCCCCGTTTTAGGAGCAGTGTACAAACACAGTATTTCATGGAGTACCCAGAGGTAACACTGCAACTGTGAATACACTCTGAGGGCATAGCACAAATTTTCCTTCTCAGCTAGTCTTCTTTAATTTGGAGCAGATGACCAACCATTCTATCTCATTTCTCACTGAAGTGGCCTGTCCCATGGATTTCCACAAAAAGGCAATATATTATGACTCTTCATTAAGTTGTTACTTTCCCTGTACCTG